CCTCTCTCGCTGCATCTCTCTCACACACGCGTGCGCAATCGAGCCATCTCTCCCTCTCTCGCTGCATCTCTCTCGCACGCGCGTGCGCAATCGAGCCTTCTCTCCCTCTGTCCCTCTCTCTCTGCATCTCTCTCACACGCGCGTGCGCCATCGAGCACTGTCTTCCTCTCTCGCTGCATCTTTCTCGCACGCGTGCGCAATCAAGCACTCTCTCGCTCTCTCGCTGCATCTCTTTCGGAGAGTACGTGAGTGAGCGATCGTGTGCGAGAGAGATGCAGCGAGAGAGAGAGAGAGAGAGTACGTGAGTGAGCGATCGTGTGCGTGTGCAAGAGAGATGCAGCGATACTCTCTCTCTCTCTCTCTCTCGCTGCATCTCTCTCGCACACGATCGCTCACTCACGTACTCTCTCCCTCTCTCTCTCGCTGTAGACATCGACGGCAAGCGGCTGGACTTTGCACAGCAGCTGGGAGCCAACCACACCGTTCTCGTGCAGTCCGACGGCCAGCCGGCGACGCAGCAGGTGGAGGCAGCGTTCGGCGACAGGCCTGACATCTCGATCGAGTGCAGCGGCGCCGAGTCCAGCATCCGACTCGCCATCTACGTAAGCAGCCGGCGCGGTCGCCGTGACGCCTGCCTGGCACCGGGAGACTCCCGCTAGACCCCCAGCGAGAGAGTAGTAGAGTTGCGCACGTGAAAACGGTCACCCCTTTACAGAGCGGCCACCTTTCCACAGAGGTCAATTTTGGCGGTTTCCCTGTGACAGGAATTAATTTTTGTGAAACTTCCTCGGCAAGATAGCCACTTTTTTTTTATAAAGGCCACTTTTGAGATTTTTCTTGACTGGATGTTATATACAGGTTTGGCTATGTATTTTGTCGATTTGCACAATCGTAAAACTCTGGCAGTCGCAGCGGGTAGCATGGCTTGGTATCTCTTGGTGGAGACAATGCAGTGAATGCTAAGGGCGTGTGAGCATTGTTTTCACGTGTGCAATTGCATCGTTGAAATTAATTTAGACTAGTTTAATTTGTATTAAAAGAAATGCAAGGGAAACAAAACGCGAACTACTAACCCTGGTAATGGTCAGATGCATTCAATCACAGGAAATCCGGGAGTGTCCGGGAAATTCTTAATTCAGATAAATACTAGATGGATGTTACATTCGCGTAGTCATGATGCTAGTTGATATTTGATTATTTCATGAAGGTTTTAAAGCACTATTCTCTTATTAACACACATGACTGTTGCAGACTATGTACTCGTGTGTCTGCCCCTGCTAAGCTACCACTAGAGGGCGGTGAACGTTGTGTGTGTGTATGTATAATGTAACCCGTGTGTCCGCCCCGCTAGGCCACCACTAGAGGGCGGTGAACGTTGTGCGTGTATGTATAATGTAACTCGTGTGTCCGCCCCGCTAGGCTACCACTAGAGGGCGGTGAACGTTGTGCGTGTATGTATAATGTATAATGTAACCCTTGTGTCCGCCCCGCTAGGCCACAAAGTCTGGCGGCACGGTGGTCCTCGTTGGACTGGGAGCTCCGGACGTGATGCTGCCCATCGTCAATGCCTCGACGAGGGAGGTGGACATACGCGGAATATTCCGCTACGCCAACTGGTGAGTCGGGACGGCGCCTCCTGCCGTCACAATCTCGGCCTGCAATAACGCCACTCGTAGCATGTCGGCGGACACGATTCCGAACTGAGAGTGCCTGAGAGCACCTAAATGGCAGATCGCGTTGAAGTCGGTGCGCGTACGCGGGAGCGATGTGTGGCGACGGTGAAGCCACGTGTGTGTTTTTCCGCTGCAGCTACCCGACCGCCCTCGACATGGTCGCCTCGGGCCAGGTGAACGCGAAGGCTCTCATCACCCATCACTTCACGCTTGCAGAGTCGATCAACGCGTTTGAGGCGGCGCACGCCGGCGCCGGCATCAAGGTGATGATACACTGCGAGCAGTAGATCGCCCCACGACGCACGCGCCGGATCTGCGCCGTTCCACGGAGAGGAGGCGGATAGGGGGCGGTGATGGTGCAGAGAGTGGAGAGGGGGTGGAGAGAGGGTGCAGAGAAGAGGAGTGGAGAGGGTGCAGAGATGGTGCAGAGAAGAGGAGTGGAGAGGGTGCGGAGATGGTGCAGAGAAGAAGAGTGGAGAGGGTGCAGAGATGGTGCAGAGATGGTGCAGAGAAGACGAGTGGAGAGGGTGCGGAGATGGTGCAGAGAAGAGGAGTGAAGAGGGTGCGGAGATGGTGCAGAGAAGGGCGGAGAGGGGGAGTAGAGAGGGCAGAGAGGGGCGGGGCTGAGTAGCGAGACGAGAATTTTTTGCGAGTGGTTGGCGGGAGGAGCCATCGATGATGACACGTGCGGGGAAGCAGAGCGCTGGACACGCGCGGGGAAGCAGAGCGCTGGACACGCGCGGGGAAGCAGAGCGCTGGACACGCGCGGGGAAGCAGAGCGCTGGACACGCGCGGGGAAGCAGAGCGCTGGACACGCGCGGGGAAGCAGAGCGCTGACCGCACGTCGTCGAATCGCATTTTGTTTCTTCTAAAATAGGCGAGTGTTTTGGGGAAAAAAACACGTTTGCATCGTTTACAGCAGTGTGTTCGTTGCGTTTGTCAAACAAGCGGTTAAATGCCACGTGAACTGCACGTTTTCCAACAGAAAATGCGCTTCTGGTTAAAGGTCTATTGGTGGATCATTACTGATTAGTAGATGTTATTAAACGTAATGTGCATGAACGGGAATTTCTCACTTACATAACAATGATGACACTTCATGTCAAATTGTAATCGCTACGATTCGATTTCAGTGTAATTCCATTAATGTATTTCATGAATAACGGGTATTTACTTGCATCGAACAGTCGAAATTAAATCGTGCGATGTTGTAGCTTGTCATCAAGCTTTATAAGAGTGATTTTTATACACATAGTTTAATATTTTGATTATAAAAGTCTAAAAAGCCATCTCTAGAAATAAGTAGATTTGCGATATTCCCAGCCTCCTGCACTGTTAACTCTTTCCTTGTTGAGCCTGATATATGTACGTTTGCTACAGGATGCTTTGTTCAGTTAGAACAACAGTTATAACACAGACGGAATATCAGGCTTCATGCAACTAGGCAGGTCACTTGTGTTTCGTCAAATCATGCTTATATAGTTTGTTCTCAGTGAAAGTACATCTATCTATCTATATATCTATATGTATTTATGTATTGTATCTCATTCCATTATTGCTGCGTATATTTATAGTATGGTGTGCCCCCGAGTTACATATGTCCTAATTTTCGAACAGCAATCCCTGATTGATTTACGATTACGATTTGATTACTTGACAAATACTCCTACAAACTGCGACCCACACATATGAACCAAACTGCTTCTCGAACAAATGGAGTTCCTTGATGGGCAAATTCAACATGAGAACCAAAAATTTGCAACCGCTAATGTTTGTAACCCAGTACTTAAAAAATGGAAACATAACTGGTATCTTCTTTGTTGATTTTTGTAAGGATTATCGCAGATTTATTGTGCCAGTATAATTAATTTAGAACACGTTTATCCTAACAATATAAATGTTTTATTGTTAGTAGTAGTCATATTAGTAAGGTGTAACACCTGTTATCGGTAATCAGTAATCTTAGATGAGGGTGAATCTTTCCTGTTCTACTGTACATGGACTAGACGAACCTTGGGACCCCGTGAATCGTGTAAGTTGGATTGTTTTCGTTAGAACATATCATGTTGTCTGTTAAGTGTGATATAGTCTCGGTGTTTGATGTTCAGCAAGTTGTGTTTTCCATACTTCAATTAAAATAGCATCTGTGTATCTGTAGAGTCGTTGATAAATAAGTTGAGTGTTGAAAGTAATACATTAGAGTTGTGGATCATGATAAATGTTAGGATTTTAGGGTGAAATTTGCTTTAAAGGAACATGGAAAATGGTCGTTTTATTGGCAAATATTAGCGTAACTGAGCTTTGAATCATGTGAACTAAGGTACACTGGACCAGTGAGGGTAAAGCGATGGGCTGCAAGTTCTCTAAGAGATAGCGTTTAATCTAATAATATCCATAAATGATGACTGTGTGAAAAATATGGTATATAGTTGTATGTTGTTCGATTTGTGTATATTGAGAATATGACAAGTATCATTAGCACTTGGGATGGTATCAGCTTTATTAAAAAGCTTGGCATAACTGACAAAATATAATTATTTACAAATTTAAAACATTAACAAAATATATTCTTTGTATATTTGTACCATATACATGAGCATGTCTGTCAAGTAGTGTTAAATTACAAGCAATGTCCTAGTCAGAGCAGCACCCATAGATTGATGATATCACTAGTTGACACAGTGCACATGGATCGATGAGGTCACCAGTCGACGCGGTGCACGTGAATTAATAATGTCACTAGTCGACTCGGTGCATGTTGATCGATGTCACTAGAGGACACTGCACGTGGAGTGATGACATCACTAGTATTCGTGGTGCGCGTGGAGTGATGATATCACTAGTCGACGCGGTAGTGGCGGATGTGGAAGTTGACGACGTACTCTGCGTTTGTGCGCTGCACGCTGATGGCAAACGGGTCGTGCGGATGGAACGTGAAAGCGACGAGGCGGCGTGCGGTAGGGGGTGCGTTCCTGCCCAGCACCCCCGCGTGGATCTTGAACTTCAGCAGACCCGAGTCTCGCGCGTAGAACCTGCGAGAGGCAAAGCAATCGATAGCACGGCCCAGGTTTTACCAATACCCCACGTGTATCATCGAAACGTTTGCATGCACATGACCAAAGTGACCATGAGCAAACAAGATGAGTCGACTAAACCAACTATATTGCTTATTTCTTAACACTAACTTATATATAGAATGATACAAACTGGGAACCAACGTTTTTGCACACGTTTTTGTGCACCCATCCTACATGAAAAACAGTTCCTAGAAGGAAAAACACATGAACTAACTAGGTATATATATCCAGTCTTCATGAAAAACTTTTTGAGCCACGTGCCCTTCGGGCAAGTAATCTGTAAAATGTACATGCCCGAATGACATTTTAGTTGCCGATACATTTTGCAGGAATATTTTTGGACAGTGACAGTTGACAAGTGTACACCAGACAACTTCTAGACGCCATTCGTTTCCGGTGTTAACATTTCGTGACTTTAAATTAAAAACCATTAGTTAATGGCCAGTTTCATTATATTTTATGTGCTTTTAAAGCAGGAGCCCGTCGGGCAAGTAAGATTGCAATGTTAACATGCCCGCCGAGATTTCGAAACGTCTCGGTCATCGGACGCCCGGCTAAAGTCGAAGACTTTATCTACACAGTCGGTGGTGAGCATATGAAGTCTGCCGTCGGGCGCACCTGATCGGGTGATCGCCGCAGCCTTTGGGTCGCTCCATGACCGACACCCACTTGTCGTCGTAGCTGAACAGTGATAGGTCGAGGTAGGGGCTGCTGCTGTACGACTGTGAGCTGATGGGAAGCTGAGCGAGCAGACGCCGTATCGCCTCCGTCTGCCCGCCAAACTTCGCATTGATGATCGTCTGCTTGAACCTGGCAGGAGAACACCGAGGGTTAATATAGCAATTAATGTTAATATATTACTTAATATAATAATACTGGTTTATATTCATAAATTATAATAATATAATTAATACTAATAGTAATATTCTTTAGATTAATTACATGTTGGAGCAGCATTCAGTACCAGAAATGCTGTTAACTGCAATAAAGTGGGGAGAAATAACCATGTTCCGGTGCAGACATGCCAGAAGTTGGAAACACTGCGAAAAAATATGAGGGAGGTGTTTTGGTTCACAGAAATTTTAATGTGATTATATTCATTAGATTGTGTTACGAATGAAATTAGTTATCTTCACATCGCTTCCTACTAGCTCAAAAACGAGTCTGAACACTCTTTATTATGTAAGGACAGGAGTGCAAATATAAAGAGCAAAGTTAAAGCCCGTGCACGTGGCACCTCGTGCACTGTGTGCACGCAGCAGTGTCCCTGAAGTGGGTGCCCCCCTGTACCCTGTGCATGACACCTGGACACTGTAGTTGTATGACAGATGTGAAGATATTTGACGACATGCAGGAGACTGCCTGCACTGTGGTGGCACCCCCTTTGCGTGGCATTTTTGATATCACTGACTACACGCAAAAGGCTGTGTACGCCATGGTCCCATCTGCCCCTGTGTAAACAGCACTGCACCATCCTCGGTACCCCCCCCCCACCACGCCCGTGCCCGCCAGTGCCTGCGTGCGCGCCTCACCGTTGCTGTATGACGCGCGCGTGGATGTTGGACGACGCCGACGACGTGCAGAAGGCCGCGTGCAGCGACGCGTTGCGGAACATGTCGCTGAAGTTCTCGAACAGCTCGAGCAGACGCTCGGACGTGTTCTCGTAGACGCCTACGACGCGCGTGGTCGCCATGTTGTAGACGACGAAGAAGGACGGCTGTGAGTTCGGGTCGGCCGTGCGCAGCGTCACGACGTCCTCGCTGCCGTACTTGATCAGCAGGTGACTCTCATCTGTCAATGCACGCGCGGCCGGTGACGTCACATACTGGTGACCGGGTAGTGGCGATAGAATACTGGTGACATAGTAGTGGTGACATAGTAGAGGTGACACAGTAGTGGTGACAGAGTACTGGTGGCAGAGTACTAGTGGCGACACAGTACTGGTGACAGAGTAGTGGTGACACAGTACTGGTGACAGAGTAGTGGTGACACAGTACTGGTGACAGAGTACTGGTGACAGAGTACTGGTGACAGTACTAGTGACAGAGTACTGGTAATAGAGTATTGGTGACAGAGTACTGGTGACAGAGTACTGATGACACAGTACTGGTGACAGAGTAACGGTGACAGAGTACTTGTGACAGAGTACTTGTGACACAGTACTGGTGACAGAGTACTTGTGTCTGTGACACAGTACTGGTGATACAGTACCAGTAACGTAGTAGTGGCAACAGAATACTGATGATAGAGTATTGGTGACAGAATACTGGTGAAAGACTGTTGGTGGTCAAATACTAGTGACAAGACTGGTGACAGTGCTTGTGAAAAAGTCCTGATAACACTGTGTATTTATTAGTGCCAGAGTACTGGTCAGAGAATACGGGTGACAAGAATACTGAATAATTTTAAAATTGCAGGATTTTGGCAGAATGTCCTATAACCATATGAACGCTGCATACGCACCAAGCAGCTGCATCTTCCACATGCGCAGGTTGCGAAACTGATCAAAGTGCTGGAAGAATCGCCGCAACTCAGACGGTTCACCCGTCGCCTGCGAGCGCCGGTACAGGTGCACCAGCAGCCGGTGCTTCAAGCAGTTTATCGTCGCCTCCCTGTAGAACATAGAGAGAGAAAGGAAATGTTGAGAGTGGGGGAAATCGACCCTTACACACCCTACAATATCATCAGGGGTGATAAATGACAAATTATGATGTATAACGATTATAAATACTTAATGATTGTCATTGATTGATATATTAGATATATTATGATTTGTAATTATTCACCCCTGATATCATCCATGCGGTTATAGCCTTCAGTATATGTATATAAGTGCGTGTGTAGGCGTCAGCATGTGTGCTTATACACGTGAGCGTGCGTGTTTGTACACACACGCGTGCGCATGTGCATCTGCGAGCATGTCTACACATATCTACTAGCTTTTTACCTATACCTGGTAGCCACACGTGTGTGCACGCATGCTGCATATACATTCCCTGAAACATATGCTCTCACGCCAACCTTTTCACCGGGTAACACGACAGTTTATGCATAGACTTCATGATATATCAACTGTTCACAATCCACGACCTCGATTAGTGAAACGAAATTCGAAAAGTTCCTCAGACAGTAACCGTCTATGCTCGCTCTGACAAAACGCAGAACGTATAATAGTTAACAATTTACATAAGTGTGTTCGCATCGCGTGCAGCACGACGACTAACGGCGAGTTCGTTGGCGAGTCTCGCGGCAGCTTGCTACCTGTACGAGCGGGACGACGACGAAGCGTTGATGCGCGATCCGGATCCGGTGCGCATCTGCGGATAAGCTGCCGCCAACACGAGCGGGTCGTCCTCGTAGCAAAACCGACCGATCGTTCTCACGTCGATGAAGCAGCCTTTCGCCGACACCTGAGAATTGCAGGAACGATCGCACGATCACTCGAACGTTTATTCTGCCAGTAGCAGTATTACGCTATTATACCAAGTATTGAATATGCAGTACACTTCGAAATGCACTGCTACACTGTTGCATGATAACACTCAGAAGCGAATATCACAGCTGTTTTTTTGTTGATGGAAAACTATAAATTGCTTACATCATAGCAAACAACAAAGCATATGTAGATCTCGCCACAGCAGACACTGTTAAAAATTTTATCAATTGCGATTCATAATTTACGTTTTTATTGCGATTTTGAATGCTGCACTGAAACATTAGATTGTGACCTGGTGACCTTATTGACCTACTATGTTCTTCTCTATTTATGGAGCGCATTGCAGTCTGACAGGATGTATAATCCTGAAAAGTTAACTAGATTATGACAATTATCTTAGTAAATGACAAATCAGTAAGAAAACACAGGAAATGTCATGGAAACACGCACGCACGCACGCACGCACACACACATGTGACCCGCTCCAGCAAACCCAGGATTAAGTAGGAAATTCTACAAATTGAGTTATGTGCATATCTGAATAGATTATTTAATTATACCTTGAAAATGATATATAATATTTGGCTATATCTAATGAATTGACCGATCTACAGCAATTTGAAGATCGGAAACCGACTTATTCCGGAATATGCAGCTTTTGAGATAAGCGTTCCGGGTAAGGGGCCCAGTCGGGGATAAGCGGTCAGGGGCCGGTCTAAAGGGATTTTTTTTCTTTTATTAAAAATGACCATAATAATCTAGAGATATCTGAACCTATATATCCGGATTAAATATGCACTTAGGAACTTATTTTTGTCCAGGTAGGCCATTTTCAGCATTGACATGTGTGCGTGCTCATTACTCAAAACAATGACTTGCGACTTAGTCCGTATTATGCTGGAGCGGGTCACATATTATATCAGTATATCAGCCTTATAATTGGACGCCGGATGAACAGGTTGATGAGGAGTGAGCACCTGGAATATGTGGATGGTCTGGTGCTGTACTGAGAGCACGGCGAGAGTGTCCTTGTACAGGTAGAGTCCCTGGTTGTGCGACAGGAAGATCTTGTCGCAGCGAAAGCGCCGGCTGTCACACAGGGTTCCGGAAGAAAGCTCTGCAGCATCGCAATCCACGAATGAACAACTGATCGTTCCACTCACAACACGCACTCCGGGCACACATTATCACCCGGCCACTACGCATCACTTACAAATTTGAAATAGAGAGAAACAACTGAAATCAGTGAAGGCACAACTATGTAGGATGATATGGAGACTTGACGTGAAGAGCGATGCTGCAGTAACTACTCAACTACACAATCAGGATATTTGACGGAATGCTAACTTGACAGAACGTTGCACAGAGCGCCCCTACTACAGGTACAACAGTCGTAACCATGCAGTGACCCTCAGTCAATGACATGAACTGACCTAACCTGACCTGAACTGGGAATCGATCCAATTTCAACCATAACTCGTAAACGTATTTTCTAATCATTCTAGGAAACAAGTCTGAAAATCCAGCCAGTTCGTATTTTCGAAAATTTCGATTTTCTATTAGATAATAACCCAACGGTAAAATCTATAAAAATTAGCGAGTCCTGCCGAAAAGTGACCACTCCCAGACGGTGAGACGTGTCGCTATTTCCAACACTAATCCGATGTCGAAAACGCATTTCAGCACCACCGTTATGGTGTGATGAGACACCCCTAACCACAAGAAAAATCCTGAGCGGACAGCCTTGCAACCCAACCTGACCGCACCCTGACCCGATGCGACCCGACCCGACGTGACCCGACCCAACCCGACCCGACGTGACCGGACACGACCCGACCCAACCCAACCCGACCCGACCTGACCCGACATGCGTACCTATCAGGTGTAGCGCGTAGTCCTCGAGCGGCGAGCGCTGGCTCGGCGACACTGACTCGTTGTTCTGGTACATGTCGTAGAAGTGCGGGTAGGGGTCGTCGGGTACGTACATCGCGCAGCCAACGATCACGTGGCAGCCGTCGTCCGTGAACAGCGAGCACTCGCGGTTGAGATGCTCGCCCGTGTGCGTCGCCACGGGCGTCGTGTGCGCGAGCCTAAAGAACCTGACGGCAGCGTCGCCATCGAGTTACGAGCGCGCGGGTTTGTGCGCGAATAAAATTGACTGTGCTACGAATTCTCTGGTGTATATTTTTTTTTATTTTGCTGCCATTTTTTTACATTAAAAGTAAGTACTAACGGGACTAAATGTATCGTCAAATTCTTACCTGATAAGATCGTTTCTCAACTAGTTAAAAATCCAAAAAACCTGGACGATTTGACATTATGATCCTGACATTAATTGCTTGCTATGGGCTATGTATGAGTCACGAGAGTATGTTTACATCGAACAATATAGTAAAATAGGAAGCATAACGCAGCAATTTGACCATAAAAAGTGAACAGAATTACTTACATTTTGTGAAAAAGTGGAAATGGTTTTTTTAGTTTTACTATTTACGGTGACGTAATCACTTTAAGCGATGTCGTTAATTCAAAGTAATAACAGCCACAAGTTACCACGGTTGCGTAATTGAGTTTTAGGGTAAGAAATTTGATTAGTTTTACGGCACTCATTTTTAACAAACCTTTCAAAGATGTTGCTGCGTATGTCTATGGATCGCTGATCAGTGCCTTCGGCTGTACATTCACCATCCACACCTAACAGCATGTGTTCTGCAACCGCTGCTCCCTACAAGAGAAGAGCTTTCAAATTATCCAAGAGATAATTGTAAGACCAATACCGTTGTTTGAATGAAAATTGATGCAGCATGCAAAAACTATATATATATATGCACGCAGTCATATCATAAATGCTACACACAAATTTGTGATTCCTAACTTATATACATTTAAGTGACATGTGTAATATATATTATAGTGATAAATTTATAAGTGAATGTATACACAAGTGACACGTAGTGTACGGGTGTACAAGTGTGTGTATCTGATTATGTTAAAAGCATTTTAGCTCAACAACCTGGTACTCATATATCTCCAAGGAGGTTTGGTCAGATGAAAAAGCAATGAAGTATCTCCCAGTTGGGCTGAACTTTCGCAAAAAACAAGGTGGTTTCTCAACATTAACAACTGTGAAGTTGGGAAAGACATTCTGGTGAAAAGACCGTGCAACGAGAAATTCTGTTCCTAGAAAATAAAAATGACAATAAGTGATGCTAGTGCCAATATATCAGCAAACAACCCAAAATTTAGTACATTAATAAGCCATATCAGAAAGTCCCCGTCGCCATATTGAGATCAGATAAGAGGGGGTATAAGTTGCCTATAGTATATATAACATGGTTAGGATAGTATAGGTCTAGTCTAGATTTTTGATCTATAATTCTCTTCACTAACATCGTACTTCAATTCACAGGTGCGTTTCTGCTTACAGAAACATTTACAAATATGATTGTGGTCATCTGGGATATTTTACAATGTTTGTGTGAATGCAAAAACTAAAAACGCACAAGTGTTTACATTAATCATATACTGTCCTAAGCGTGCCTGGCCATTTTATATTCCCTTTTTCTATGACCTAAATAGCACAGCTGGGCTTTTTGATATCACTTATTAAACACAACATTTGTGAATGTCTCTAATTTTGAATACTTTATTACCTAACAATACAGTACCAACAGAATCTACATGGATCATAACATATCTATATACAACAAATTTCACTAGGATATATAAACTTTTAATTTTTTTTAAATAACGAGAGGCATAAAGGGCCGAGATCCAGGATTGCACAATATTAGATTCTTTATGTATCGAATACTTCATCTATCCAATGTCTTATCAGGACAGCAACATTGTTCGTACAAACTTGCCTGCTCGAGCTACATCGGTCTCGCGTCTCCTCAAGCGGAAGATAATATTCTGGTTGGTTATCTTCCTGGGAGCGAGATTCGTGAACTCATTCTCCCACTGCATGGCATCCTAGAATATTTGTCGAAGGTCTCTGCACATGAGATCATTGAATTTGATGATAAATATATTTAATAATTATATAATTTAAGTGGATAAATGCATTTTGACTTAGACTTAATTAGTGTAGTGACCTTCTAGTAGTGCTCATAGGGTCTATGTCCCCCAGGGTACTGCCGGGACGTACACTGGGTATGGTCCGCAGTGTTGTACGTCTCACGGCCAGTCTTGGCCTCGAGACCGGCCTCGAGACCGTTTTCCTTGGTCTCGGTCTCGGTCTTGGCCTCGGAGTGCAATGACTCAGACTCGGACTCGAGGACTCGGGTCAAAGCCGGCTCAAGGCCACTACATACATAGTACCAGGAGCGTATAATGACAAAGGAGTAAGACAGCGATTTGGTACTGATTTCACTACATTTTTGTCGTACGAGTTCGATGTGAATAAAAATACAAATGTATACAAACATCATAACATGAGCTTCTTTTGTTCACTGGTCCTTATATTCTATCTTCCGGTAGTATTACAAACCGCGTAGCTTCCTTCGTTTTGACATAAATCATACTTTTGCCCGACATGGTTTTCACGTTATTTACCGTCCGCTGGCGAGGCCACACTCTAAATTTGCACACACAGCTCTTCAATGAGCCACGGTAGGGATCGCGTCAGGCAGCGCCAGCGGCAACTGTACGCGGGCTAGAGATAACGGTTGCTATGCAATTAATGCAAAACACATGTGCGAAAAGCTACAATCGGCTGGAGCGTCAGTTTACTCATAACAATTCATACACATCATTCCTCCGCGGGTGAAGTAGTTCAGATATTTTACCAGTGCAGCGTTTATTTTAAAAAAAATTGCGGGATGAAACTATAAACACAAGGCATTCTAACTATAGTTTAAATGTAAAATAGTTTTAATTTTTAAACCCAGCATGGGTGCAACGTAACTTAATTTCTAGGCGAATTTTCTGCACTCGACTAGGCTACGGCCGAAAAGCCCTACCGTGGCTCATTGAAGAGCTGTGTGTGCAAATTTAGAGTGTGGCCTCGCCAGCGGATGGTAAATAACGTGAAAACCATGTCGTGCAAAAGTATGATTTATGTCAAAACGAAGGAAGCTACGCGGTTTGTAATACTACCGGAAGATAGAATAAGGACCAGTGAACAAAAGAAGCTCATGTTTGTATACATTTGTATTTTTATTCACATCGAACTCGTACGACAAAAATGTAGTGAAATCAGTACCAAATCGCTGTCTTACTCCTTTGTCATTATACGCTCCTGATAGTACACAACTGTACATATTGTAACACGCAGTTTACAAGAATTTAAAACTAAAACTCCTAGGTTTTCTAGATACAGTGACACGGCCTAATCTTGTAACGTTTTCAATGGCTCGATTACGATTCTTGTCCCTTTGGTTTGAATCTGCTGTCACGTCGTCCCTTTGCGCTTTTTCTACCACTTCTTTCTCTTCTTCTACCACTTTGAACGTACTAGCACTCTCTGATTTGGTTCAACAAGCTGTGTCATTCTTGTAAAACACAAATGGATCCATTACTCTGACACGTTTCATATGACTCATGTCTCTGTGTTTTCGGCTGACTATACACTTTCGAATGTCTACGATTCACTGTTGCAATTTTTTCCCTTTTTTCCGATTTTTTTCCTTTTTCCCCCAATTTTTTCCCTTTTTCCGATTTTCTCCCTTTTTTTAATCAAAACTGGACTCGGACTCGGACTCGGGTGGTGTGGACTCGAACTCGGACTCGGGTGGTGCGAACTCGGACTTGGATTCAGGGGTGCGGACTCGGACGGTGCGGACTCGACTACAACACTGACGGTCCGGTATACCAGAACGTACCCTGGTACTATCTAATATGCCAGACCGTACCTCGCCTACTCCACTAACGAGTCTAGGGAGTCGCCTACGTCTACTCCCTAACCCTAACCATAAGGCATAACCCTAACCATATCATTATCAGTCCGTACCTAGGGTACGTTCCGGCAGTACCCTGGGGGATATAAACCCTATGAGCAGTACTATAGTATAGCCCTTCGCTCCGCAGCAGGGAGCGCTTCGCTCCTGCGGTGGAGCTAAGTCAAGTGCAACTGACAATTGAATTGTAAATTGTGAGTCTAAGACTAAGTTACGCTAAGAGGGTCAATGTACCCCGGGGTACTGCCGGAACGTACCCTGGGTACGGTCTGGTATACCGGAACGTACCCTGGTAGTGGTACTAATAGTAATACACTAATACTAATAGTAATACTACCCAGACTAATATGCCGAACCGTACTTCCCCTACTCCACTAACGAGTTTGGGTAGTAGGGAGTCGCCTACGCCTACTCCTTAACCCGAACCCTAATCCTAACCCTAACCCTAACCATATCAAATACTGACCAGGGTATGTTCCGGCAGTACCCTGCAGGGGGACATAGACCCTATGTCTATGAGTATGAGACCTTGCGAATTTTATTGTCTTTTGTTCATTCACAGGTCATAGTAATAGAATAAGATGTTATTCATATAAAAATTGTAAGCTATGGAATTTTCAGCAAGCACAGAAAGCCATTGAGGTTATATAGCAACTAACAGAGAAGTATGATCAAAATATTGTTTACGATTACAAGGGCGCTGCCATTTTTAACTGCTCTACCGGCAGCTTCTGATGCGACCGCACACATTTTTAATGGCTGAAAGCTGAGATGAATCAAGCGTTTTACAGCAACGTTTCGATTAGTTTTTTGGTTTCACACCAGTTTTTAGCCGAAACGCATTATTATAAACTTCATCTCCCATTTGTACGCAGAATAAAAATATATATATGTATATATAATAAATTTATTTATACTTATATGGTGTAACAAAAGACAAAACGATAGCGTCAAACACTTACCGCCATATTGTATTGTGTCGGTAATACGCATGTGAACGAAACAACGCCGCGGCCATTTTGATTGCTCTAGAAAACTTGGTAAGTTGTTGATGTTACTGACTACATTCTGTCAAACTCGTTATCATAGAATGTTTTTTTTTCGTTAAAGAAGAGAAATTATATTTATGTTTAAGAACTAACATTTCAACAATTTATTGCGGTGTGAAAACTATTTATGTAACTAAAGCTCATCTAAAGTTACAAAGCAGCGTGAGGGGTCAGCAGCGTGATTGTCACCAAGTACAGTCACTGTGTCTGTGCCACAGTCACTTGGAACGTCTCAATAAAATAAAAAAAATGTAAACACGAAATGTATTTACGACCAAAGTCTTAATGTTTTTCTACTCTATTTCGGCTATTATTGCCAATAATTACCCGTAAATGCTGGTCAAATGCTCATCTGCAACATGATATCAAGAGCTAATAATACCTAGAGTGTACAACGGAAAAACGGGGAAATAGTGCTATTTCACGACTACATTATTCTACTTTGCCTGCGAGTCTAGAATAATTTCATGGTATTGCATTAAGCAGAATTCTTTGCTCTCTAAAACAAGACCAACCGCTTGTCAATACGATACTCCTAGGCGGAGATATTGGCTCGTAAACCTCCCCTCCCACATGCCAAACGCCGCCTCGAATCCACTTCTGCCAGCATCCTACACGCGGGTAAGCATTTTGGCTATCGGTTTCCGTCACCACTTGGAGCGCTGATAATTGATGTCATATGCCCAAATTTGGTACTGTTACTACACTTAGTAACTGAGCTGCGTTGAAAAAACTTGATGGAGCCGGCTCCATCATGACGGGCGTTAGCCGTGCTAGGAAAGATAATGGAAGATAAGGGCATAGGCGATGCCCCCGAATGTCACCTATGATAACCGAAGCACCGTCCATTCATAAATTTATCGCGGAAAAACCGAACTTTCACGAAGCAACGCTTAGCCGCGTGTAGGATGCTGGCAGAAGTGGATTCGAGGCGGCGTTTGGCATGTGGGAGGGGAGGTTTACGAGCCGATATCTCCGCCTAGGAGTATCGTATTGACAAGCGGTTGGTCTTGTTTTAGAGAGCAAAGAATTCTGCTTAATGCAATACCATGAAATTATTCTAGACTCGCAGGCAAAGTAGAATAATGTAGTCGTGAAATAGCACTATTTCCCCGTTTTTCCGTTGTACACTCTAGGTATTATTAGCTCTTGATGATATTAGTATTACAACTACAACTACAAGTTACAACTTACAAGTGAAGTACACTGCACGCCCGCCTTGTGCACAAACAACATGAATAAGAGAGCTGTAAATACATTTCATGTTTATTTACCATTATTATTTTTAATTGAGACGTTCCAAGTGCCTGTTGTCTGTGCAGCCGCCAGTCGGGTTTACTATCTGTGTACAACACCAACTCCGAAGTACTCAAACCTAACAGCTAACTTGCGAATTCAGCTTTGGTGAACGTTCTGTTATGGTTTAATATTTGAGGCACTTGATAAGAAAACACTGGCTGCGAAAATAACACAATTCGAAGTACTCACACACGTCACAGGTTATTATTTAAATATTTTTCTTTTTACATGAGCTATTCCATGTAGTTTGTTATTCTTACTTAGTCCCGCAGTGGTTAAAGTCATGAAGCTGAGACGTTTCGTTAATTTTGAACATTACCATACTTGTAACAAACTTTGTGACACTACATGGAAGGGGGGGACAGGAGGCGGGGGTACGGGAGACAGGAGAGGAGGGGGCGGGAGACGGGAGAAAAGGGGGCGCCGAGAGGGAGTAGGGAGGCCAGTGGGTGGGAGGATTTTCATCCAAAACAAACTATTATACTATGTTGTACGTGAGAGAGAGAAAGCGAGAGAGAATACTAAGTAGAGAAAAATAAAAGAAATTCATATTGCTCACCAGAAATAAATACATGAGAAAATACATTGTACAGGATTAATACAATTATTACGCAAACTGTCGGAGAAACTAAGTGACATTCCAAAAAGAAAATGCAAAATATAAAGGATCCTGGAGGTGTTGAGGGAGGGAAATATGAGGACAGGGAGGGAGGCAGGAGGAAGACAATTCCCTGTACCCCCCCTCTACATGCATACAAATGTAGTTGGCTGGTTTCGTGTTTCTTTCCCTGAGCCTGTGCACCTGAAATGGGCAAACACAGAATTCATCGTCATTATTGATATCATACCAAAGTATAGATATTCTTTTGTTTGTTTAAGTGACATTCCTGTCCATCAAAATGTCAGTGCATCAAAGTTTACTCACTGTTTTTGCCATTGCCTTTTGTTAGATCATTCTTGTTTGTATACGCAGCATGTTACCTCTGGTACATAACCGACCATTAGTAACCGTAATTTGATGTGCTTTCACATCGATTTTTTTGGCTAAAAGAAGTAATACAAGGAACTTGTTAGTTGATTTACATTTGTTTTAATAAATGGATTGAACACTTATGTCTACGAATATTTACAATATCCTACGAATTTACAAATATCGTATATTTTTACGACATACTATGATAATAAATGCACACGACATGAATTTAGCCCAGCTGAAATGATGCTGAGTGTTGCATAAACTAAAGTGATGTGGGTCTAAATGATACCTGAGCCTGAGGTCTGTGCAAGTACCTAAAAATGTGATAGTCAAGAGTGTTTTGGGTGGGGATCAATGCAGGAACGCATGCACCCCAGGAATAAATACAATCCTACACGAATGTATTTATGTTCACATACAATACAATGGTGTTTGCAATTCGATGGTTCTCTGTATGACCAGGATATAGGTTAGGCTGGCTGTTTAACGGTTTGGTATTTAGAGCATACTGTGTATTAAAGGCGATCAAATATATCACTTTAGTCTTTCTCTCAAGAATTTTAGTATGGGCGAATCTATGTTTTATATTTCAAATATAGTAGGCATAATTTCTAATTGTATCAATGAATTTTCTTAACCTGGGTGTTTAATGCAGGATAAACACAAACTCATTCATTCAGAATTATTAATTGCAATAATTTAATGCCAGTGTGTAGTGCATTATTAACCTGCAGCATCACCACCATTCAATCTTTGCTAGCATAGTAGAGCACAAATAAAAATAAAAAGGCTGAAGTTGTGTTTTTAAAACATCTTAAAGGCATACAAGGCCCATTGGTTATGCAATGCTATGCAATTGAAGAATGCTAGAGTAACTGGCACCTTGTGTAGTTAATAAGTACATAACCTTATAGCCAAACGCGTATTAGTTTGTCCAATATCACTGCTGGTTACAAAGAAATGTTTAATTGAAATCTGCAGTCCAAGAAATCAGTTGTTTACAGTTTCAAACCGCTGCCAGCGAAGTGGGTGTGATACAGATTTATAGTGCACCAGACATTTTCGCACGCATGCTCGGCCATACGCAATGCTATCATCAGTGATTTTGTAAACACGGACGCTCATGATAAGGAACTTTTTGTCAGGGCTGTTCGTGATTAGTACGTGTGTTTTACTCCATTTTCATGTTTAGTCCGTGGCCGTGGTTACACCGCTGACACCTCCATTTCATCTGGCTTCCAATACATACGGGCTGCACAAATGTTTACGTCATCGCTTGACTCCTGGATGACATTTACGGCACGTAAATGAATATCAACAACCGATTTCAAGTCTTGCTTGTAATGTAACCAGCAGTGATATTGGACAAACTAATATGTGTTTGGCTATAAGGTTATGTACTTATTAACTACACAAGGTGCCAGTTACTCTAGCATTCGTCAACATTGCATAATCAATGGGCCTAGTATCTAGTATGCCTTTAATTCTATGGTCCAGTGATTGATTTTGAGTTGTTCTTGTAATTGTGTACAAACTTCGTGCAGCAGGTGGCAGCACCATGTAATGGACTGGAATCCAGTGAATATGTATTACAAAGCATTTTACACAATCGTGCTTTCTCATATGAAAAGAATGTGTAATTCTGACGGCTAGCAGAATAGTCAGCTAGTAAAATACATGTACTGTAAAATTTTAAAAATCTGATTCGTTTTATTATCTATATATATATGGAATGTAAATGAGTAAGAGATGTATTCTGGAAAAAAACTAAACATGTTACTGCAACAATGTAACATGGCAGCATGCAACAGTTTTTGAGGTGAACGGAACACTAACATTCAAATTAGAGTTACAGACTGTTTTATGATGGTAGCCAGATTAGTAAAACTGTGCAGTGTGCCATTGCAAAGGGTTTTGAAATCTTGACAGTCTAAATGGGTGTCTGTTGCAGCACGTAACTTTTGCAGAAATTATATATGCATTAGTTGTAAACCTCAAATTGACCGAATTAGTTGTATGTAAATATGGGACATTGGCATGAAATTCAATATTAATGGTTAGTCCAACTAGCAGATCTGAAAATATGATTTAGTTCTTCCTTGTGCGCACTTGTCCTTGCAATTTAATTTCGTGCATGTTTACACCCTGAGTGAATTTGAATTAATATATGTACAAACTACATACGTGGCTGGCTTGTTTCAAGGCAGGGGAAAAAATACACGGGAGCAACGAGCGATTTCGCTCTGGTAAGCTCTAAAATCGCTCTGGTAAGAACAATAACGGGAGCGATCGTCCGAGAGAAAATCGCTCCCCTGGGCTGATAAATTGAAATATACACAAGTACGAGTT